TTTTTCAAAATTCGATAAAACTTGGTTTATTTTTTTTAATAATTATTTGTAAGAAATTGATTATAATTACTTTTTTTTCTCTATTTTTTCGGGGAAAACAAGAAAAAAAAAGAGTATTAAGATTATGGAAAATTGTAAACGAATAAAAGAAATAACAAAATAACGAGCAATTTGAGGCAAAATGATAATTTGGTAAATAATTGAAAAAATTTACATTTTACAATAGTAAAAACAAGAGAATGGACAAAACCTATAAAAAATTACCATTTTTTAAAGTGAAATTTAATACTATAATTTTTAGTAAATAAACTATAAAATGTTTTGTTTGATTTGGCCAAGATTATACTAATATTTTGGGATTTGATCAATGACAAATGAGAAACAATCTATGATTCCAAAACAGACATAATATGGTGATTAATATTGAGTTTTGTCACAACAACACAATTAGAAATAAATGTGCTTTTTTAAAAATAATCTTTGTTAAATTAAACACTTTTTAATAATTATTACATTTTTGAGATGTTGTTTTTGTTTTTTGTCCCAGAAAGTCAGTAATGTTGATATTGTCTTGTGGATTGTAAAGAAGAAAACCATCTATCAAACATTTTTGGAAAATAATTTATACAATTATTTTTGTAAAAAATGTTTTACAAAAACAATGATAATATATGAGCGCATTTTATGTAACTTTTTAATAAAGTAAAATATAGTTATTTCATCATTGAACAATTGTTTTGTTTTCGGGTTCAATAGATATAAAAGAAGAGGGTATTTTTTAATACAAAATTGGGAATAATCAATTACCAACCAATGCCACACAATACACAAAAATGGTAATTGTTTGTTTCAATAATATTGAAATGTAACAATAAATGCCTTTTTGGATTAACAAATACATATTTATATTAAAATTAATATGATTTGGATATTAATATAATTTGATATATCATAGTCTAATACTTTTATTGTTTTATTATAGTTTAATAATATATAAACCCATAATTTTTGAAAATCAATGGTAATTGAATTCAAAAAAATGAAAAAATAATCAAGAGTAATTGAATTGTGCTTATGGTGGGTTTGGTTTGAATTATTTTCAAAATTTTAATAATAACAATAATTATAATATGTTAATCAATAATAATAATTTAATTTTGTGTTAAATAAAATGAACTTATAACAATTTAAACAATAAAAGTTATAGTAATCAATTCCATTTATTTTAATATTTTTAAACTATCTTTGTTTCAACTTTATTCACAATTTAAATTTGTTGTGTTTTTCCCCAAATTTTACGTCGAATGATCTTATTATAATAAATGTTTAAATTCTATTTTTTCAACACTGCCCGATTCCCTTCATCAATTATGTTGTTTTTTATTTTTAGTTTTTAAACAAATAACATTTCCCACCTCGATATTATGTTATCAAATAATCGACATTTTGCTTTGCTCACTTTTTTACTAAACCAAAAAAAAATGTGTTAAGAAAAAGAAAACCATTAAAATTATTATTTTTTTGTCTCTTGTTTTTATTTTTTTTTATTTCTCGACGATTTTGAGAAAATAAACCCTAAACCTATGTGTTCGTTCCATCTAAAACTGGAGACCGTGGTCGAGTGTAAAAAAAATAAAAAAAAACTTGTTTGAGCTTTTTGGTGGATTTTTATCCTTGTGATTTTACTAAAACTTAAATTCATATGATAACAAAAATCACTAAGATATTCGAATTATTGTTATTTTGTACCATTTCCAAATGTTTCATTGCTTGAAGTGATTTGTTTAGACAACGAACGTTTGTAATAAGCGTTTTGTCTTCACTTGAAGTAACATTTCATTATTATGATTCACATAAATTCATAGAGTGTTTTTATCATAAATATACATACTTACAATTGTGGTGGATAATACGTCTGTTTAAATTTTTTCTAACAAAATTAACTTCGACAACTGTCGCTAAAATTAAGTATCATAATATTCAACGTTAAACATATTACTCAATTTGATATTGATATAAAAATTTTTAAAAAACAACACAAACTGTTATTCTTTGAACTTTTGTTTTTTATGATCAATGGCATCATCTTCGTCAAAAACTCGATTAGATATCATCATTTCGAATTTTGGAAATTATCCAGTAAAAATGTTATTTAAAACTATTTTTGTTTTACTATTTCGGCAAAATTAAGTCGGATTTTTAATTAACGATGGAGGAAATTAACTATATATTTAGTTTTTTAATTATAATAAATAGCTTTTTTTCGAAATAATATTTTTTTGTTTTATTTTTGAATTTTTTTTACTTTCTAACAACGTTACAGTATGACAAGTTTGACTTAAACGACAAGTTTGGGTTAAATGGTAAAATTAATAGTTTGAATAAACTATAAAAAACGCAACAGAAACATTAACTAATAAATTAATGTTTTTGATTATCATTGAGTTAATAGAAAAAATATGAAAGATTTTGGACATATTGAAAAAACAAAACAAACAACAAGAAAAGAAGCAATAAGTTTCGAAACAATGAAAAATAACGTTAAGCAATACATAAGGATCAAAGGAGACAAAAATAAAAATATCAAACATTTTTTTAATGAAAATGAATGATGTAAAGTATAAAGAGAAATTGTTTAATGAAATAACTATAACATCACAAATTCAGTTGATTAAAAAACACATCCTTTTATTTCTTTTGGCTCTCTAGGTATTCTATTTAATATAAATTCTGGAGCGGTGTATACCCATTGAAAGCAACCGGAATTATTACCTACAAGGAGTACAAAGATAACAACCGAAATGGACGCAACTATAGAAAACATCAGAAAACATCTTGAGACTAAAAATATTGGTGTTACCATTTCAATGATTCATCAAATATGTTTGATTTTTGACCATTCTTTTGATATGACAAACCAAGCAATACGCAACCATATCAACAAACACCACCAATTAGTACCCATTCTTAGTAGAGCCAGATGACAAGAGCAGAATATGAATCAGTTTCGAACAAGTCTATCAAAAATATCAAAGAAGAACAACAATTTGATGGAACACACGCGGACTTGTTTCTTAATATCGACGAAGTTGGTTTTTCTGATTATGTTGATGCTTCAAATACATACGTTTATATTTCTTCTTCGTTAAAAGAAACTATTAATGAACAACAACATTGTTAAATTGGTGTATCAAGATCTGGCAAAAGATCTACAGTTATTGCATGCATTTCTGCATTTGGAAATTTTGTTTGCCCTGCGATGACAATACCAAATGTCAATTATTCAAATGAAATCAACGCAGAATTTCCGGATTTGACGGTATATCATTCAGCTTCCGGTTTTATCAACAAACGCATATTTCAACATTGGGTTATCACAAAAATAATTCCATACTCGAACACAACAAGAGGAGAAAGAAGAAAGGAAGTTTGGGCTGTTGTCATACTTGACAATTTTTCTGTGTATATAGATGATTATATTGTTGGGGTATTACGATTCAACAAGATACGTTATCATTTTTATATACCCCACAATAGTCATCTTGTTCAGCCTTTGGATCTTTGTTTCTTTCGTGTAATAAAAAAAGGTATTTCTTCTTCAACAGTATCTACAATAAACCTTGTATTACCAGAAGAAGACACAACTAATGACAAGTACACAGAATGTATAAAAGAATGGTTATCTTTTTATTCAGAGTCGAATACACAATTTGACAAATGTATCAATGTAACCGAAAGACACAAACCAGGACAGTTTGTAACGGTACGTATGAAAAGCATTTTAGAACAAATGTATATAAAAGCGACCAAAAGGATAATTAGAGCTTTTTGGGCGTGCCGGAATAGTTCTTGTTCCAACAAATGGAACATTGTGTATATACCATGATTTGAAGTGTGTAAAAAAATTGTGTGATGAAGCGGGAAACCGTTTTACTCAGCAAATAATTTTGAACCATTACAAAATGTTCAAAAAGTGTTTCGAATATCAAAGCACTAATAGACTCAGATTTGTCTAACTTTAATTTTATTAATCAAACAATGATGCCAGCAATCAACTCATTGACTACTCTGAGTTTAAGACATGATGAACCCCTTAATTCATTACAACCACTCCAATTGACTCAACCACATAAAGTCAATTTTTTAATAAGTCAATCTACACGACCAAGAAGTAATACTAAAACATCCAAAACCGGTGTTTTAAGGTTCAAACATGTTTGGAATAAATGATTTTATCGACCATTTTTGGTTATTAGTTTTAAGATTCAATTGTATCATAAAATCATAAATTATAATATTAGTATAAATATTATAATAATTAACCATTATATTTTTCTGGTTTAACCTACAGTATACTATGATTATTATTTTTCAAATTATTAGCATAAACCATTTAAGTCAAACTATTCCATTTAAGGCAAACTTGTCTAACTGTTCACATCCAAAAAAGAAAGCAAGAAATGTGGAGTTTGTAATTCCTTCTCTGGCCAATTTCCGAGTAATATCAACACACCCGACAGACCATTTAATATAGCTAATCACAGAAGTGTCATAGTTATAAGGCGATTAATAGGTCATACCAATTGTTTTGAAAAGCAAAGATAGATTGAAAACCAGCGTTTCTTTGAGAATGTCAAATGGTAAATATTAATAAGAAATTTACTATTTATTTATGGTTTTTAATTAGCGATGATCGATACTATATATTATAATATAAAAAACTGATATAGTAAATTTCCTTGTTGTATTTTTGGAATATCGTTTATTAGAAATCAGACTTTATTAAAACATAAAACACAACAGTTTATGTTGTGTTTTATAAAAAAAATCTGGGAAAAAACACAAAATAAACTCCAACGTGTTAATAATTATTATCAATTATTATTTTAAAATTCAATAATATTTTGAAATAAAATACCATTGTATTTTATTTTTTTACTATATTTAACAATACTATTTAATAGTTGTTTTTTAGTTGAAGATTACAAATGTTAAACTAGATAAAGTTATCCTAATCGTCAGTTAAAAAAGACTTTATTCAGACATTCAAAATAATAAAAAAGAATTACTACAGTCATGCGAAAAAGCTGTCGCGTTTGGAAAAACCTGTCTTGAAAAAATATTTTATAGTAAATTTATAATTACTTACTATACAGTATAGCTTCC